GCAATGAGACGAACTTGATGGACTAAGAGTGACCCTTTTAATCATGTCCTCTGCGGTTAATTTCCATCAAAAACACAACGAACTTTAGAGGCTTCAAAATCTAGACGTTTGGAAATGTTAGATTTGGAAACTTCACTGAGTCACTTTTCAGTTTTTCTGGACTATTTTTGAGAAAGCCTAATCATAGTTTAACTTCGATGATGTTAGAACACACTCAGATATACAATGCGCGTTATGATGAGCACGATTCCAAAATAAAAACATTTTTATTCATTTTCCGACTCCAGAATTTTAGAAAAACCAGTCCTAGGGAAAGTCAAAATGACGCATAAAATGTCGAAGACTTGGCAATCTTAGTCAAGTGGAAATCAACGTTGAAATATCTCAAAAAAATATGAAGTGTTTGAATTTAACATGCCTCAAAAACTGCTTGGTTTCCCCATAAATCAACTGAAATTTCAAAACAACGATAACTACCACCCTAGTTCGTTCTTCATTCAAAAAAAGCATTTTTTTTTCTAGTGCTTTAAATGAATATCAACGTCATTTTCGCCTAAAGCTAAAGTTAAACTGTCGAAGAGCTGATATTATCGCTACACATCACTTCTGAACAAATTCCAAAATTCTAGTTTAGACTTCTTCAACATCAACTGTGTACTATTCATAAAACTATATATACAAATTTATGCTTTGTGATCTATATTTGTATACGATTAGGGCGGGCATCAACAGTTCACAGAGTGCAAGGAGCTACACTCAATAAAGGATTTTGTTGGACAAACTCGATGATTTCATCTTTTTTTCTTTGACTATTTCATCAATAGTTGCTCAATATATTGCTAAAACAAGCAGGTAAGTAACTTTCTCGTTAACATTTACGTGATTCATCCATCTTTTGCCTTATGAGAGTCACGTTAGAGAAATGAAGAATTTAAGTCTCAAAGGAAAACTATAGTTTTGAGAATGGAGTTTATATATTCAGTTTTTGGATAGCACTCGAGAACGACTTATCGACTTTCTTGCCAATCAGATTGAGAAAAAATAGCTTGGTCACTATAACGATAAACTAAGCCTTATATATATTTTGTAAAGTAGTACTGTCTTTATTCTGCATACACACAAAACAACTGACTTAAGGGGGCTCCTCTCAGGAAAAAACTTTTTTATCTTGCATCCAATTTCGATGGCACTTGCAGTGACTAATGTTTACTGTTCAATTATGCTGAAAATTCGAGATCGAAACGTTGAAGTGCTGCCTAGTTATTGCATCACAAGGGGCAAAATGGGGTTCTCAGCAACAAAAAATTTTACCATCCGAGTGACTAAAAGATGTGCGAACCTGAGTTGAAGTGAGCAGTTTTCGACAGAAATTGATAATCGACTCTGCTACGATTCTATCAAGCAGAAACGATTGGAATTATGTCGATTGATGCCAAACCCGATAATCAAATTTTTTCGAACAGTTCTAATTGGTTTCCACCTCGGAATGTCCCACAACTTCCGAGCAAAAATGATAGGATTCAGTGGTAGAAAACCGGATTCAGTTATAGGATCATAGTCGGTTAATTCCGCTTGGAGTCACTCATTGGAATTCTGAATCTGAATAGTCTACTGACTGGTGGTAAGGACAACAGGTTACAAAAAGATTGAATTCCGTTTTGTGAAGCGCACTGTTTTACATAATAATTTATTAACGAGTTAACGTTTATAGCTAGGAATATCATCATGTGCCAACTTATATGTCGATCAGGATTGTCAATTCGACTTTCTCAAGATCGGAAAAATTCTGCTACATTGGAAGAGTCGACAATCCTGAAATTTTGATCGTTAAAAAGAAGACAATAGTATGTGACAGCAAAAATGTTCTATTGCATCTAAAAGCTTGATTAAGCTCTTGAAGAACTTACTCAAGCTTTTAGATGAAGAGCTGCTCTTCCTCACTCGAGCGATGAAGTTTCACTTTTAGAGTCTTAATTTAGCGCTGAAAAAGTGTAAACATCTAGTATTAGTTTATGAGCGAGTTTGTCATATTAAAGAAAAAAATATTCATTGTCGAAACTAAAAAGTTCAAAATCAACAATCAATAAACTACAGTAAGGGAGAGAGATGTCTAATTAGATATATAGCTTAAAGAGTGCATGACTGAGACAGATCTATGACGCGAATAGAGTAAGAACGACTAAAATCAGTAAGAAAAATAAGGCTCGCATAATTCAAAAATCAAGTACTATTTTATTTTTAGCTTCTTTATATATGATTCGATAGAGAATTTCAAGCTGATCACCAATATCGCCTTTTTAGCCTTCCCAGTGCACATTTGCGCGTCGAAAATTTGAAAATACGGGAAGGGTCTTAAAATCCGAAAAACTTTCCCGTTTCGAAAAAGTTGAATACTTTTTCTATTTTTTATTTTGAAACTCTCAAACAGCTTTTTCCTAATTCAGCGCTGAAAATTGAATTAGAAAATGTGTTTTTGATGCTTCTCATATGTAATGTCATTGCACGAAAAATTCATCTTCAAGGATATCTCCAAAGCGGAGACCTAGTCGGAAAAAGCTATCTAGTTTTTTTTGGTAAAAGATAGAACGTTCATTCTTGCGCCATTCGATCGGTCTTTATTCGTACTACAAAAGTATAGATTAGGATAACTATCAGGATTTTGTTCAACAGAGAGACATTGAAATTGAATACCTAATTTAAACAACTGATTTCCATCATTCCCCACTTCAATTATTCGACCATCGTAATCTTTTATCTCTTCAATGGAACGCCAAGAATGCTCTCCCTGTGAACAGCTAAACGTTTCGACGTTTACCAACGTCTTCATCAGTAGCAACATAACAATTTTTAGAAAAACTAAAACCTTCTAGAAATAAAAAAGTAAATTAAAAATTAGAATTTATTAAACATTAGCGCTGTATTCGTATTGAAATAACCCAATAATAAAAAGTTGTAAAGTAAACTTCTATTGCATATCCCATACTGATATTGAAAAACTGAAAATTTTTCTGTTGATTTATATAAGAACTTGATTCAATCGGACTCGAAACACAAAACCTCAAGTTCGCGTTAAGTCCGAGTCTTTCAAAAAAATCTCCAGTCCGAAAAATTCTCTAGTTCGGACTGGGCTCACCTAGCCCTGATTTGAAATATATGGAATATACACTACAAAAATGAGTGATCTTATGATAAAGTTTTGAAAATCGGCGAAAACTCTATTTCCTATTTTTTCATAATCGTTGGACAAAACAAGCTTTGGAGGCTTTCACCTTTTTCTTTTCTGAGAAATAAATTTCACAGCAAAGTTTATGCCAACAGTATTCTTTTCGTGGTAGTTTTTCGATTGTCGAAGGCGCGCCTGGAAAAAAGTGAAAACAAAAATACACTGTCTTTCTCTTTTTGCGGATAAAGATCGAAAATTTTATTATTGTTTTTTAATTTTTTGATATAACTAATAATTAATTATGTAATCAAATCGTATGTTCTTCGTTACAACTTCAGTTAAAACGGATAATGCATGTAATTTAGAAAAACTATAATGTTATGTTGTAGTGTTATTATCTATGTACTAACACAAATCACAACCATGCTGGTTTCTCTCAGCACCAATGCTCTATCCGATCACTTATTCAAGTGGCGTTCATAAGGTCTATGAACCACCGGTGTGTGAACAGGGAAAGAGTGTCATTCTTGATCACCTCCGAGATACTGTAGACTTCTTTAAAACACCAACAGATTCTGATGCGAAACGATTACTTCAACGCCTTGAACAAACGCTTCAAACACAATTAGCCATTGTTGATCCTCATAGACATGAAAGATTTGGAAGAGAAAGTATCCTGAGACGAGATGGCAAAACCACGTACACGCGACCAGGAGATAGAACAGTTGGAGGAGGAGACTTCGGAATGTCTACAGGTTATAGAACGTCAGAGTATGGTACGCCGGATAAATCCGAAGATCTTATAAGGCTGGACACTCACGGTATTAAAGGAAGATTAAATAGTTCACCTAAAATGGTAGGCAACGTTCTTTCTCTTCAGCTTGTGTGGTATTTTTCATAATCTTCTCCGTCTAACTTTCGTCTCACTTTTTAGTCTCACGTTTTGAATAAAGATTCAAAAGAGCTGGCTGACTGGAAGATCTTTATGTCATGTCTGTAGTTTAATTAAATTATCAAGACATTTTCGAAAAATCTAGGATGTTAAGAGCCCCCCCTCCCTCAAAAATTATCTCCGACACCGTACATCCGATCTTGACGAAACCTTCAATAAATGTTCGGCTTAATGAGTTACGGGAATGAAAAACATGTTTTGTCTCCAAGTCTTACCGTTCAGGAGTTTTCCAGAGATCAAGGTCCAAGAAGAGCCCTGAAGTATTTTCCAAGACTTTTTAATTATACTTCAGACTGGAGAGCTCGGGTTTGTTTTGTTTTAAGCTAGAAACCTAACTACATGGTCTGATCGGCATCGATTTTTCAATTAAGCCTTTATTGGTTTGCCAGGCAACCAACAACCTCCAAAATTCGAAAACTCCTTCCGGATTTTCTAAAAATCCTCAATTTGATAAACAACTGAGACCTAATTCAAAAATCAGCGCCGGTCAGACCATGTAGTTTCTTTTTGTCTTTTAAACAAAAAAAGAATGAACTCTCTACGACAAACCGCTATTAAAAACCAATTTTGTAACCAAAATCGATACAGATTCTGGAAGTAGACATTTCAGGCTATCTTTTCATGTGCGTATCTCAAAACCAACTTTTTGACCAAAAATCACCATTTCTGAGGGGGCCCTTAAGGTGGTCGATATTATGGATTTTTTAAAAACTAGTTTTTCTATCTAGACATGCCGAGAAATTATTTCATATGATATGAATGCAAAGTTGACATTAGTTATTATTGTTCAGCACTGGTGCTGAGATTTCACCAAAGTAAAGCCCTAGAGAAATATTAGAAAATTCGCTTCACGAAGTTTGGTCTCAGAATACTGCTCCTTGTCCTACAGTTACCAGTATAGGATGGTGACAATTTCAGGTGATGCGCGCTCTCCCAAATCTTCTCTGAAGTCGACCACCTTTCGAGGAGGTCACTTGTTTCTGTATCAGTCAGTAAACTGCAGTTCTAGACAGAAGGCTGCCGTTACTTAGGATTTTTTCGCATAATTGCTTGCCCTCTGACACGTGCGATGGTTATATAATGACATGTGCGTCATATTCCCCGAGAAGCGCTAAGATAGAAAAAGAAAGGAAGAGAATTTCTGATGTGATATATCTCCAATATATCACAGATATATTTGAGATATGCACTTTCACTTCTAAATAGAAATCACAGATATTCACATGTTCAATCTTCACATATAACAAGAAATCTAACGCAATAGAACGAAACTTTTCCGTTGTTTCTTTTTTCTTTTTTTCGTTCTGTTTTCTTTGACGATGAAGAACAAAGAAATATATTGACCAGATAGAAAGAAAAACGCGACATATTAGAATTCTAGCGTGTAAGTCTTCTTTTTTTTTTTCTGTATGCCACATATCCATATCCGAATGTAACATTAATGTCGTATATGCGAGATAAAGATAAAGACAAATACGCTCGAGTTCTATTAGAACAATCTCTATAGACATTTGCTCACATTTGCCAAGAAGCGAAAAGATAGAGATATTCCTTATTTGATACGGCTCTATTATATTATATAACCATCGAACCATGCTGTCAGAGAAAACATGCTGCAGCATATATGTTGTTTATAAGCACTAGTACGTAAAACTCTCCTTTATAGAGCACTTTAAATGAGGCACAATATTTTTTATTTTTAGAATGGTGGCTTTGAAAGTTCGCGAGATGACGCTAGCGAATTATATAATCTCCAAGTAAGCACATCAAAACCACCATTCCTCATGGCGACTGCCGATCAGCAGCAGCGTGTATTGCGAACTCCTCAACAAGGTGTGGAATTGTCGAATTTTCAAGGATGGTCAGGCGACAGCGGCGTTACTGAGGAAAGGTTGAAACCGGACTATTTAGTTAAAAGTCCATCAAAACGAAGCTGGGCTCGTCGGTAAGTCATGCAGTGCACAAATTACGTACTGGCGTTGGAACCCCAAAATCTTAGTTTCGAAAATGATGTAGAAATCCTATGGTAGGATATAAAACGATCTTACAGGATCATACAGCATCCTGATACGATTATTTGATCTGGTATGACTTTGAATATGCTAAACGATGCTACGGTATCCAATTAAAATCTCACAGTCTTCTGTTTTGTATTTGTAGTGTTGTTGATGCAGTGTTTGGCAAACCGCCTCCTTCTAAGGCATCTACGGTTGATATGAATACTGCAAAATTGTATACAAGACCACCTTCAGGTACTGAGGGCGCATTTTTGACATGCACTAGCTTTTTTTATTGTTGTTGGTGGTAGTTTTGTACTTGCGTTTTGTGTAAGAGCACCGAAGATTTTTTATACTAATTTCAGATGATTCCAATCGTGCGCTACCTGAGATCATGATTGAAAGTGACTCCGGAGGGCTGGGATCGATCAGCAGTGATATAGCACACAAATTAGGAGTCAAAGATCAACTGATGAACATACCTAGTCAATCTGGCTTATATGAAATGACATCAGATGGTTATATCACACTTCCTGTTATAAAACCTTTTAACGATGTTTTTTTAGTCTTTCGTATCACTTGTGTCATTAGATGAACAACGTTTCACTATACTGCTTTTTATCCAGTACAGCAATTTCTGGCAGGATGAACTTTTCGCTCTCCAAAAGTTGCTTTTCAAACATATTACACTCAATATTCGTTTAATATTCGATAATGACACTAATGATAATTTGAAAGATTCAAAAAGATAGAATGTACAATCTCAGCAGGTTTCAAAACAGCATTCAGGTTTTAAAACTTAGAGAAGGGATCCTGGAGAAATTTAATATCACCTAGTATAAGCTGAGCAAGCCGACAGTATGTGTTGGTAGAATGATCGCTTTGCTTGGAAGTGATTCGAAATGTCTACTACAACCAGGGGTATTTCAGCAAGAAAATAAGACGATTTAAAATAATCTCTTAGGAAAATGACACCTTACTGAGCTGATAATATCTGATATGAAAGATTGCTTTGTTGAATTTTTACGTTTCTAGGGAGTTTAATAGGCCAAGGAAATAGTGCAACGGGAAATAATGGATTTCCATCTGAAGGTTTAGGATTAGCACTGGCGGAACGAAGGAATGCTTCATCGGATATTGGTAATGTAGTGGTGTCTGATCCTGTATCTCTGTGAACGATGGAGGTTCTAAACCCTTTTTATATGACTCAAGAAGTAGCAAGATTTGCCATCATTCCGGCAGTCTGATTCAAGATCAAGGTTGTCCGGATTGCGTAGTGCAAACGAAGAAGTGAGCTTATCAAGAAGAAAAAGGGGGATTACTTTTAGGTACGGCAGGTCTGGTGTCAATAGAGAGTAAAACTGAGCTTGCTGGAAGAACGTCATCATCTGTTCATCACCCGCAAGGATCGGAGTCATAAACTAAGAGTTTCAATAAATTAAATAAAAAATTGGAAATAGAAACGTTTTCTACTAAAAACAAAATGTTAGTCAGTCTTGCTAGAAGTTTCGCCTATAGGGGCGTTCTATTTCAAAGACAAAATAATCAATCTCACGGTATGATTAAAAGATGCTCTCGTCGGTATTTGCTGTTGGATCGCTAAGCAAACCTAACATAAAAATCGATCACACGTTAACTTATTTATTATTTAGGTGTGAATCAAGTTTCCTCTGTTAGTAATATACCTCATCGTTGGTCAGCACGTCATAGTTCTCGATCACGCCTGAAAGGTGATGATAGTACTCGAAAAATAGTATCAACTCGGTATTCGGCTGTGGAAAGTGCTCGGATACAAGGAACGACTGGACGAACACCCTCTTCGTTACCCTTATCGACTTTCGATGGTAAACTAAATTCTCAGCGAATCGCTGCTGATCCATCAAGATTAAAAAAGCAAACTAGAAAAGATTCATCGAACTTTTTAAAAGGCAAATTTGTATCATCGGACGGAAATTTGACCGAGACAATGAACCCTTTAAAATCAATGCGGACTAACAAACTCCGCAATCAAGCAGCGGAAGCAAGAAAGACTATGCAAGTTCGAGGTAAAGAAAATTGAACCGACTAGTTTCACGCAAATCTGTTTTATGCACCTTTCGTTCTTAAAATAAAATTTAAAAGAATCTTTTACTGTCATCAATAAAATGAATAGAATTTATTTAAATTATTAATTTTAATACTTTAATCTCGAATAATTGTTTATTATTACAAACTAAACATTTTGAGATTAATATAATCTCTACATGAAAAGTGTGACAAAAAAATAAATAAAGTAAAATGAAACAACAAAATTTCGAGTTAAAACGCAATTGAAAGAAAACTAAATGTCATTCTATGTAGTTGACTGTTATTACACAAGTTAAACATATTGTTGTTTATCGTTAACAACAACAAACCAGTGACCGATACTCGCCCATCTTCTTCTCTTTTCCTTATTAACTTTTTTGTTTGTCTTGTTCCTTCTTTTTCTAATTGTTTCTTATTGAAAACTGACAGAATAATTTCTCTGGCTCATGACTCATCTATAAAAGATAATCATCAACTTCCGTTTCTCGATGCATTATTCTTGATCAATGATTGAATTATCAAGCGAATCTTTGCATCTGATTTAAAACAGATATCATCACAAACATGGTAGATCAAATTTATTCTACTAATAAGGATAACAACTAGACGGCAATCACATTAGTGAGAGTTGCGAATGCGGTGCGAAGCAGAAAATCACAAAAATATGAATTATAATCTCAATTATCAAAAACTACACGATGATATATCAGACTCTTAAGGTTATAACTAAATAAAACAAAACAAACATCGGAATTGAAGAATATTTGGACGCCGTATACTCGATGTTATAAAGAATATTTTTTCTCTATGATGAGGATCAACAATCAAAAAGTAGGTGAAAAATCGCTCAATGAGAAACAATTAGAAAAAAGAAGGAAAGAGACAAAAAGAAACGATTTCAGTTGTGTTTTAATTAGAAATTTTGTTGTTATTTCATTTTACTTTATTCACACGTCTGACAGATCAATTCATAAGTCTATTTTGTCATATGAATTTCAGGTATAGCAAAATTTTGTACAACTCCTGCTCGTTGTTGTCGTGTGTGGCGATCAATTCGTAAGTCACATTGAGCATCAAAACGATCATTGAAATAAAGAATAGAAGAAGTTATCTGAATCGATGATTCTACACTTGACCATATTATACAAATACAAACAAGATACGGAGAAGATCAAAAACTTGTTTATGATGAAGTTCTCTCAAGATTGCTTATGGCACACTATTTTCTAACTGATGAGCATAAGTGTTTTCTAAATGCACCTTAAATCACTTAAAACGCAAAAAGAATGTTAAGAAATACTCATTTCTAAAGCTTATCCTTAATAATACAATATATGAAACTATTTATCCATGCTCGTAAGAGAAAACATTATAAGTCATAATTCTCTGAATGAATGAAACTCCTGGTCAATCAGCTCAGCAAATCGATTAGTGTATTTTATTGATGAGAAAGGTTTTCTGCATGTCGTGATTACAAATAATAATCAAACACAACACTTAATCAACTTCAAAGTTTAAATGACGCCTATACCATCTCAGTCGCATATCATCAGAGAGATAAATGTGTCTTACATTTTTCAGTCAAAATCTGAACAGATGAATGGTACAATAATTGCTACTGCTCTTTTGCTAATTATCGATTTGAATGGCCTTATTATTTATGAGATTAGAACAGAAGATTTTCCTTTAAACAGACCTTTAACGATAAGACACTCAATACCTTAATTGTTTCAATTAAGCCATCCTTGAAGTCATCCTTGAAACTTTCCAAAAAACCAGTGATCTATATATTTCATATTGAAGCTCCATCATCATGGAAAGCCTTGACAAAGAAGACAAAGACTATGCATAGTAGAAACAGTGGTAGTTTTAGATTGATTGTAAAATGGTGGATCATATGAATAATGTTATTTGATAATAAACAAATCTTAAAATGACTTCTGAATGATCAGGAGGGAACAATTGCTGCAATAGTTATCGGTCTCCGCATCACTTTAGCCAATCATAACAGTATTTATGTATTGGATACAAATAATTCTATATTTAAATACAATGTGGTATGGCAAAAAATTACTGTCTTTTATAATGCCTACATAGATTGAAGCGATAATTGTTGTATTATTGTGACTTTTTCGATAAATAAAAAATAGAGAATGTCAACTTTTTTGACTTTTAAACAGAATAAATTCATGTGAAATGTTTCGCAGCTTGTAAAAGTGCCATTAAAAATTAAAAACTTCGTAGAAAATAAAGACCAACAATAAGAAATAATAAGCAAAATAAGATCAAAATATTATTCAGTATTTACAACATTACTATCTTTATTTACTGCTATAGAGTTTTGTAAATCTACAACAATCAGTAACTGGGTCGCCCGAAAATGTATATCACAAATAGATTCCATTAACAAATGCGGTTCCGTTTTCAATTTGTTTACCATGTTCTTCGTGATATGTCCAGAAACTTGCAGTTTTGGTTGAACGATAGATATGAATAATTCTTTACGCCCAGCGGATGAATTATTTTTTGCTTTATCGCGAATAGACTTTGGAGGGATCATATGTTAAAAGAACATCTGCATCCGTGGGAATTTGTGATCAATAAGAAAGAATTTCATTCTCGTCATCGCAATATTTTGATAACTAACCAACTAAATAAAATTAAGTATTATCACTCCGAAGAAAACTTATATGCACTAAAAAGCTGTTACCTTTCCTGAAGTTTTTTCGTGAAGAAATCGGTGTTTCTCCACAATACCTTCATCTTTATTCTAGAAGAAATCGCTGTTTCTTCACAAGAACTTCATGTTTTTCAATCAGGATATCCGTTTTTGTCCACAACAACTTCTAGTTTTCTCGTCAAAACATCTGTATCGCTTCAGACGAACTTTATCTGTTTTCTTGCAGAAATCGATAGCTTCATGTTTATTCGTGAAGAAGTCAGCGTTTCTTTACACGAACTTCATGTTTGTTCCTCAACAAATCCGTGTTTCTCCACAAGAACTTCATATTTTCTCGTCAAAAAACCTGTGTCACTTCAAAAGAACTTCATGTGTTTTCTTGAAGAGATCGATGTTTCTTCACAAGAACTTCATTTTTATTCTTGAAGAAGTCAGTGTTTCTTCAGAAGAAGTTCATGTTTGTTCCTCAAGAAATCCGTGTTGCTCTACAATAACTTGATCTTTTCTCGTCAAGAAATCTGTGTCTCTTCAGAATAACTTCATGTGTTATCTTCAAGAAATCTGTTTCTTCAGAAGAACTTCAGAAGAAGAAGAAATCTGTGTTTCTCTACAATAACTTCATGTTTCTTGCTGAAGAAATCAGTGTTTCTGGAGAAGAACTTCACGTTTTTTGTTGAAAAAATCTGTGTTTCTTCACAAGAACTCTTTTTCCGGAACCAATCGGTTTTTTTTCAAAAGAACTTCAGGTAAGTACTTCAAGAAATCGGTACAATAACTTCATGTTTTTAACCTGGAGAAATCAGTGTTTCTTCACAAGAACATGGTTTTTGTCCAATAAATCGGTGTTTGTCCAGAATAACTTCATAATTTCTCGTGGAGAGTTTCATGGAATTTCGTTTCGTGGAAAGCTTCATGTTGTTACTAGAAGAAATCGGTGTTTCTTTACAAGAAATTTAAGTTATCTAGTCAAGAACTCAGTATTTCCTGAAGAAATCTGTTTCTGTTTAGAATAACTTCACTATAACTTCATTCAACTAATAACTTCGCGAAAACTGTAGGCTGAAGTGAAAATACGAAGTTCTAGCGACTTTTAGTTTTTATTTCACAGCATTTCTACGGAAAGCCCAAAAAGAGGGAAGCGGTACCCTTAAATAATGTTATGATTTTACAGTTATCCATTTACAAGAGAGAAAAAAAGTGACAGAGAGAGTCGTCACTGTATAACAGAAAAAACAACAACAGATTCATGTATTGTTTTATGGTTAATAACACAAAATAAAATGTGTCGAACTGAGTTTTTCCCAACAAAACGAAAAGGAATAGAACGTTGATTCAACATCTCTATCTCTTATTTCTTATTTAATTTAAAGCTATTGCGTTTTCTTTTAGAGCAAATTACGATCCTTACTACTGATTGTCACCCTATTTCTTGAAACATGAAAATTTACTCATTAATTCCTTACATGTCATCTATCACCATGCAGAAGATTCGCAATTGACCTAAAGCATGGAAAAAGTAGAAAGTCAATATAATCTAGACCTATGGACTTGACTAATTGACATTGAACAGAAAAAATAGCTTTGTTTTGGATTGAATAAGAAAAAATTAAAAGCAAAGCTTTTTCTTTCACTTATCGAGAATACTTTCTGCATTAAATGTCGAATATTCTGATAGAGGTCCAAATTTGTAGAGTGAATCAAATAGATGAAGCACAGAACGAACGGCTTGAGTACAATTGGTTTGGCCATATAATTTTTTACATCTTAGTATTCATTTATCTAGACAATGTTGAGCCATGACAATATGAACATCTTTAATATATTTCCCTTCTAGAATATGAAGTGGAATTGATAATAATTTCCAATGATTAAAATATTTCTTTTTCATAATATTGTCCAATGCTAAAACTCCTAGCAATGTGAAAGTGATAGTTCATCTACCCAACTACAAGTAAACTCTCCGCTTTTCCAACTTGTACTTATATATCTCTATTAGTTTTTTAATTTCATTCCCATTAATAGGTATTATTTGATGAAAACAATAAAACACAAAACTTTTACTTGTGCAATGAAAGTTTTTAAAGTTAGCATTGATCATATTTTTGCAACAATGGATTTATAAAACAAAGAAAACGAAAACGGAGATATTGTTAATGCAGTAGTCAATAATAAAATATCATAACAGAGTGTTAAAATTATAGTAACTGTTCGTAGAAAAGTACAATTAATTATCCTCATCGATTTTTGTTAACAAATAAAAAGAAAACTCCATTCGGTTTAGGCTGAAGTGATAAATTAGATTTAAAACTCAT